AATCTTCTGCATTGTGAAGAGGTGAAAAATGTTGCCAAGTAATCATGTCAAACTTTCTGTATTCATATCATCATTTCTGTGAATGATTGGTCGTATTTATCATATCATGCCAATTCGCAGGTGTATATTATATTATATTGTATTGCTAGAACAATACATGTTCGCCATAAATGATGTTTCACGACTTATAGCTTCTTAGGTAGCTTCGTGAACATTCATGCCCAATGCTATATGCATCCAGAGTAGGACCACGAACATGCCAAAAGAACTGATATTACTGTAGGAATCTTTAGATTTGTCAGTGGTCATATATGAGGCGAACGACCTAACATAGGAAATGGAGATGAATGATGTGCTTGAACACAATTAAACGAGTTTTCAGGCTCTAGAAAGAAACTGTTACACCCGTGCAGCTAAAACGAACTATTTTGAACCCGCTCAGGGTGTCTGACGTGTGTTTCCGTTCATTGAAATGCGCGGAACTACGACCTCATAAATTTGCTGAGAAAAGAAACTTAACTGACGCAGACACTCGCCGTTTTAATGTACATTGATGTGGTCTTTAATGACAGATAAACCTGGTATGATCACTTGATTTGCATCATTAATCGTGCGATGAAGAGTAACGTTTACGCATGTATGAACCGTCTGTTGATTTATGCTGACGGTTTGCAAAGTGTTGTTTAGTGTTAAGAGCATGTATAATTTTTAAGTCTGTTTTGGAGCCATAAGTTCACTTGATTTTACTCGGTATTGTAACGATGTATTACTATGACAATTACAGTCTTAGAGGAATGCAAGGTGTGAAGAATCGCGATTCGATTACGTGATTAAAAAGTTATGAGGGCTGTTTGTGGTAGTTGTCTGCTTCACTGAACGGATAGCGAAAGACACAACTCGGTAGCTTTACGCAAGTGTAGCTTTTTGCTACTCTCAGAGTCCGTTATATGAAAAAACTTCGTCGTGATAAAGATAAAATGCTGAGTTGTAAAGTAGGTTGGTGTTAGTGTATCAGGTTATTACGTTCATAGATCGTTCCACCTTAAGACGTCTTTTTTTGCTTGCTATGCATGTTATGATATTGCTTAGCTGTTGTACATTGTATATACGTTTGTATGGAAAACAGAAATAAGCATGTTCCTCCATGATATTCATAAATACTGAAAATATTAAGGCCGGATTGAGATAAAATTCGTAATGTTCCCATCAGGAAAGCGTTGTGCATGAAGCGCACAATAATTGATAAAATAAAATGGAATAGAATGAAATGCGGTTAGACCGGTTTGGTCATGTGAAAGGAATGGGTGCCTGCCAAAGAGTTTGCCAGCGACGACGACTCTAGCGATGTGGGATGTGAAAGGATGCCGAAGAAAAGGACGCCTGACATCGCTGATGGAGAATTTGGAGAAGCGTGGAATGCCTGGAAAGAAGATCAGCAACTTGTCCACGATAAATGACACGGAGAAGACGGATACATACACGGAGTGCTTTCAGCCATCGACTTTCCTAAGGTTAACTTCGAAAGAAAGTGGTCGAAGAGACAAAGAGGCACCTGTGAATTTTATACTTCATGCGTACATTCCTTCAGTGTGATTGACAGATGACATCCTCATCCTCCTCCATTCAGGATGTGACAATCCAAGTAGAGAGAAACCCGTTCGTCATTTCCATACCCAACTACGATTAATCGCTGTCGATTATTCTGTTCATCTTGTCTATCAAATCTCGTCGTTTTGCATCAGGAAGGTAAGACGATCAAACGGAAAGACTTTACCATCACGTTTTGCTATGGCCGCCTATAATCTTTGCAGTTTTCGTGCCAATACTTATTTACTCGAGATTTCAGAATAACTCATTTGACAGAGATGTCAGTTGGTTTGATGTATCTGAACTTTTGTCATGATTGATATTTAGATGATCACTTTATGCTGTGATGCGCTTTCAATTGCAAATCAGATTTGGAGCCATTAACCTATTCCAAACCGGAAGTTAGCGAAAGAGCTGGTTTCAGCGAGTTTAATGAGTTATGTTGTGCAGAGGTTGAGCGACTGAGATGGGTAGTGATTTGGAACCAACTAATTCTTTCATCCGGAAACTTCACTTTTCTCTACAAGGTAGAGCATACTAATGGAAGGAAGAAATCGAGATGACACTTTGTGCAGATTATTACATTAGATAGTCAGCTATCAGGTGAGTCAGAGCGAATTGCAGCAATAAGGGCACTTGCATCTGATAACATGGCCATACACATCATCCGTTTTGCGTGTCGCAAGTCACCGACTTACAACTAGTTTCTTGGCTTCCGCCAAGAAACATCGAGAAAATTCTTTGCTCAAAGGAAGTCGCTGTTAAGGTTATTCCTTGAGCGAATTTTAACCCTATTCTTCCAGAGTTCAGAGGAACTCTCACACTCTTCCAATTGTACTCTGTGCTTCAGTGATCGATACACTGGTTGATCTTTGTCCTTCCGCCCCCAATCTTAAATACGTAATGTCCTTCCTTTGAACGAAATTGTCCGGAGGAACTGAGATCTTCTATCCGATGTATATCTTTGACTTACAGCTAAGGGCTTCTGTCTGATTTGACCTTAATTGTTGATAGGCTTGATCATTCGTTTTAGCTTGCAATGCGACCAGGATTTATGGAAATCACGAGGATACAATCTAGCGAACATGGCTCGTAAAGTTCAGGAAAACCTCTTATAGCCTAAATCATGAACCTTACGGTGAACGTCCGTCCCTGCACGCGTCAAATAGGATAATAACCTTAACTTTATAACCTTTGTGAGATCGAACTTCTTCCCTGTTTCCATTTTTCCCTGTAGAAACCGGATTGATGACTAAAATGCACCAGGAAAATCAGATACGATTACGCGCATACCCGCACTATCCACCAATTCGACGGTTATGTTGAAGTTCTTCGGTTCTGTTGCTGACCAAAGCCCTTCTTTGGAGTTCAAATTTCCATTGTGGCCCAGATTTATACGTTTAATGGGTACGTTGGTCTGCTTGTTGACTCACATTCCAAGAATTATGATGCATTGCCAAAGTTTTACAATTTCCAGACTCTGAACAGACTACATTGAGCACAAAAGAGACGAAAACTAATTACTAAAGCACTTAATCAAATATGACCCTCTCTCAACGTCTGGAACCAGGAGGGAAGATTACAAAGGGCTTGCAGTTACGCTGACTAATCTGGCATCAATGTGCTGATGCAGAAGATGGCTAGTGATCCTGCTATACGGTCGCTTGTGTCCTTGACCAGGGGAAGCGGAAATGCACTGCAACGTACCAGCGGATCCACAGTACCTTCTGACTGCGCTCTCTTCTCTCATGCTTGCTGGGATAGAATAAAGAGTATGTGAGGATACTAAATGAACGGTGAGTTTTGCTATTGTTCGTTGGCTGTACGTTTCGGACGCTCATCTAGCGTGTGTGTTGTAACGCAGCAAAATGAAAAATGCACGGGTTGCAGGCTTACTTCAGGGCGACCGACTGAGAGAACTGAAACTTCCATTATACCTATTATGTGGTGTTATTATTATGAACATATTCCTGCCTAAGGACTCAAAATTTTGAGAGTTTGTAGATGTTTCTTCATGATTGGGTTTCCTGTAGCTTCTCGGCTTGTTTATAAATTGAAGTTTAACACCCTTATTACCAAACCTCGATAACTATTTAACAAAAATGAATCCTGTTATTGCGAGTTTGTTAGCAAAATGCTAGTCCAAATCCGCGGGTAAGAATAGCGTTCTTTTGTCAACCGCCTTGATTTACATTGCGAAGCATCGTCTACTTGCTTAGGGTACTACTTGCGTCTATTGCGTCTGGTAGCTTAGGGTACCGTTTAAGCTGGCCACGGCTCAACAAAGTGGTGCTGTTTTGCTCGCACCCACTGTATGTGCTAAAATACCATGGAGCTTTGATCAGTTTAAACGGTCATCTAGCCTACTCGATGCAAGAGGTTAGTGTGTCGCTGTGTAAATCCGGAGGATTTATGGGAGAATGTTCGATAAATATTCGTTCATTACTGAAGGTTTGAGACAGAATCAGA